AGAGAGAGAGACAGAGAGACAGAGTGTGCGTGGGGTAGGGGCAGAGAGAGGGAGACCCAGAATCTGAAGCAGGCTCCAGGCTCTGAGCCGTCAGCACAGAGCCCTATGCGAGGCTTGAACCCACAAACTGTGAGGTCATGACCTGAGCCAAAGTTGGATGCTTAATTGACTGAGCCACCCAGGCGCTCCCAAAATCTGAGTTTTTAATAAATTTTTTTCTAAGTTTATTTATTTTGAGGTGAGGGGGAGGGAGAGAGCGCAAGTGAGCATGAGTAGGGGAGTGGCAGAGAGAGAGAGAGGGAGAGAATCCCAAGCAGGTCCATAGCTGGCAGTGCAGAGCCCAACTTGGGTCTCCCTGTCTCATACCGTGAGCCATGACCTGAGCCAAAATCAAGAGTCGGACACTTTATCAGCTGAGTCACCCAGGTGTCCTGTGTAATGTTTTATTAAAACACTTGATTTTAGAGTATTTGAAAGGGTACATTTAACAATTTAGGACATTGTTAAAATTACCATATAATTGTTTATTAGTCCCACCTTTTCCTTTAGTTGCTATTTAACCCTAATTCTAATCAATGACTAGGCTTACTTTTATAATTCATGTCACCCCTCAGCTTGGTGTCAAACATCCTAGGGCTTTAGCTTCATTTTATGTTAACATGCTGGTAGACCCCTCCACCCCCTACCCCACCCCATTCTATAATTTCTAGACTTTTCTGGCCTATGTTGCTACCTCTTCAAATATTGTACAGGAGATAACCTCCAGGGAAAAACCCTTTAGTCTTGTTGCTGAAGGATTTTTAAAAAATATTTAATTCTGTCCTATTTACCCAATACTGTTATAACTCTTGATTGGAAGATCTTAATAAAGAAGGTCTCCTCTCTCCACTCTTTTATTTTGAAAATTTTCAATCTACAGGAAATTATGGAAAATCATATAATAAACATCCTATATCTTTTGTCTATACTCACCATTTGCTTAAAACTCTTCTGCATTGGTTTTTATCTTTCCTTTTCTATACAAATGTATATGCTTTTTAGGGCACCATTTGAAAGTTTTATGTGTCACGACATTTCATTCCTAAATACTTCTTGTCACAGGAGTTTTCTTACACTTTTTTTCCTTGTACATTTCTGCCATACTAGAATATTTAAGTTCTCATGATGAGTGATGCCAGAGGTATACTTCTTGTAAAGTCTCATTCTTTCAAATAAAGTTTTCCTCTCGCTTTATATTACATTGTTTTTTTGTTTTATTTTTTTAATAAGCATTTTCTGATCACCCTCTACTACCACCACAACCACTGCTCTCACTACTCCATTCTGATTTTTTTCACTTTTTAAACATTGTGGTAAAATATACATATCATAAAATTTGCTGTTTTAATCATTTTAAAGTATACTGTTCAGTGGTGTTAATTCACAGTGTTGTACAACCATCACTGTTAACTTTCCAAAACTTGCATCACGCTAAACAAGAAACTGTAAACATTAAGCAAGAACTTGCTGTTTCCTCATTTCACTGGCCCTTGGTAGTCTCTAATCTATTTTCTGTCTTTATGATTTTGTCTATTCTAAATAGTTCACATAAGTGGAACCATACAATATTCATCCCTTTCTTTGTCTGGCTTATTTCACTTTGTATAATGTCTTTAAATTCATCCATGTTATAGCCTGTGTCAGAACATCATCCTTTATGGCTAAATAATATTCCATTGCATGTATATACCACATTTTGTCAATTTCTTCATCTCTTGATGGACACTTGGATTGTTTCCGCCTTGTGGTTATTGTGAATATTAGTGTACAAGTATCTCTGAGTCTCTTTTCAGTTTGCGGAGGTATAGGCATACCTAGGAGTGGAATTCCTGGGTCATGTGGTAATTTTATATTTAGCTTTTTGAAGAACTGCCAAACTGCTCTCTACAGTGGCTGACCATTTTATTATTTCCACCAGCAGTGTATGACGGTTCCAGTTTCTCCATATGCTTATCCATGCTTATTTTCTTTCTATAACAAAAATTGTTTTTTATTGAATTATAATTAACATACCGTATTATGTTAGTTTCAAAGGTACAATATGATGGTTCAACAGTTTTGTATGTTTCTTAGTGCTCACCAAGATAAATGTACTCTTAATCCTCTTTTATCTATTTTTTCTGTCTCCTCCCACCCCACCTCCCTTCTGGCAACAAACAATTCTCTGTATTTGTGAGTTGGCTTTTTTGTCTGTCTCTTTCTGTTTGTTTGTTTCTTTACACATACGAGTGAAATCATACGGTATTTGTCTTTTTCTGTATGACATATTTCATTTAGCATTATATTCTCTAGCTCCATCCATCTCATTGCAGATGTAGCAAGATTTCATTCTTTTTATGGCTGAGTAATTTTCCATTGTGTGTGTGTGTGTGTGTGTGTGTGTACACCTATATATATACCGCTTCTTCATCTATCACTGGACACTTGAGTTGCTTCCATGTCTTGGCTATTGTAAATAATGCTTCAGTAAACATAGGTATGCATATATCTTTTCAGATTAGTGTTTTTGTTTTCTTGGGTAAATGCCCAGTAATAGAATTACTGGGTTATATGATAATTCTATTTTTAATGTTTTGAGGAACCTCCATACTGTTTTCCACAGTGGCTGTGTCAATTTGCATTCCCACCATCAGTATATGAAGGTTTTTCTTTCTCTGCATCCTTGCCAACATTTGTCATTTCTTATTTTGATTTTAGTTATTTTGACAGGTGTAAGGTGGTATCTCATTGTAGTTTTGATTTACATTTCCCTGATGATGAGTGATGTTGAGCATCTTTTCCCATATCTGTTGGCCATCCATTATGTCTTCTTTGAAAAAATGTCTATAAAGGTCCTCTGCCCATTTTTAATTATTTGACTTTTGGTGTTGAGTTGTAGAAGTTCTTTATATATTTTGGATATTCACTCCTTATCGGTTATATGATTTGCAGATCACTTCTCCCATCCAGCAGGGTTGCCTTTTCTTTTTTTTTTTAAAGAATGCCTTTTTATTTATTTATTTATTTATTTCTCTGTGCTGTCAGCACAGAGCCTGACGTGGGGCTCGAACCTGAGCCGAAGTCCAATCATGACCTGAGGCGAAGTCAGATGCTTAACTGACTGAGCCACCCAGGTGCCCCAAGCAGGGTTGCCTTTTTGTTTTGTCGGTGGATTCCTTCACTGTGCAAAAGCTTTTTATTTTGGTGTAGTCCCAAAATATTTGCTTTTGTTTCCCTTGCCAGAGAAGACATATCTAGAAAACTGTTTCTTTAAAAAAATTTTTTTTAACTTTTTATTTTTTGAGAGACAGAATGACAGAGTATGAGCCGGTAGGGAGTAGGGGGTAAGAAGAAAGAGAGGGAGACACAGAATCTGAAGCAGGCTCCAGGCTCTGAGCTGTCAGCACTGATCCTGATGAGGGGCTCAAACCCACAGACGTGAGATTATGACTTGAGCCAAAGTTGGACACTTAACCGAATGAGCCAACTAAGTGCCCCTAGGAAACTGTTATGGCCAATGTCAAAGAAATCATTGCTTATGTTTTCTTGTAGGAATTTTATGGCTTTAGGTCTCACATTTAGGTCTTTAATCCATGTTACGTTTATTTTTGTGTCTGATGTAAGAAAAGCGGTCCAGTTTCATTCTTTTGCATGAAGCTATCCAGTTTTCCCAGCACCATTTGTTGAAGAAACTTTTTTCCTATTATGTATTCTTGCCTCCTTTGTCATGGACTAATTGACCATATAAGCACAGGTTTATTTCTGGAGTGTCTATTCTGTTCCAGTGAGCCATATGTTTATTTTTGTGCCAGTATCATATTGTTTTTCCCTTTCTTTGATTATAGCCATCCTGAAGTGATAACTCATTGTGATATTGAGTGTCTTTTCTTGTGCTTATTATCCATTTGCGTATCTTATTTGGGGAAATGTTTATTCAAGTCCTTTACTCATTTAAGAAATTGGGTTGTTTATCCTTTTGTGTTTAAGGACTCCTTATATGTTTTTCAGATTAAGCCCTTGTCAGATACATGACTTGCAAATATTATCTTCCATTCTGCCTGTTATTTTCACTTTCTGGCTAATAGTCTTTGGTACCCAAAAGTTTTAAATTTTGATAAAGTCCAATTTATCTGTTTTTTATTTTGCTTGTGCTATTTTTGATCTCTTAGTAACAGAACCATCAGCCAATTTATCGATTTTTGTTAGATGATTGCTTCCCTGGTCACATATTAGGACTTGAGTTGATGTTTTGGTTTGGAATCAGCAAAAAATAACAATATTAGTTGCTACTTATTGAGTACCTCATATGTACTAGGTGCCTTTGGGAAACTTGAAAAAATAATTCTAAGGAAGATTCATAATTTCATTCTTTCCAGGTAAATTCTAATGACACTTCTTAACCTCTCAAAGAGATATAAACTTCCCTATTTATAAGAAATTTAAGTCAGAACTATCGCTATTATCTCTACTGTACTAATCAGTTTCCTGGCATCTTCCCCGATCCTAGGCTTCCCTCCTCATTTCACACTTCAGCCTCTGGAGAATCCAGGGCCTTGTTTTTGCATTGCATTGAATTTCTTACCTAGGTTTTTTGTTGTTGTTGTTGTTGTTTTTACCTTACCTGACTAGTCCACAGTCATCTTTATAAACTGCTTAAGAAACTCAAGGTAAATGGGGTTCCTTACAGAGGGAATACAGTTTTGACCAGACTTTAAATGTGTTTTATTTTACTAGAAGGTGAGAGTTTCCCTCACATATATAACTCTCAGATTCCTTTAGGAAGGTCTCTATGGTGCTATTGATTCAATTAGGCTTTCCCTATCTGTGGTACGAGTACTTTCTCTCTAGTATATTTTCTCTCTGATGATTTCATCTCTGATGACTCAGTAATGTTTCCCAATCCCCCCTCTCAAACCAGGAAAATACAAATGTTAAGTGCTCTGTCAATGTTTAATACAGTTTATTCTGATTTTTCCCCCTAGCGGATCTAAAGAGAACAATTGCTGTCCTTTTAGATGACATTTTACAACGCTTGGTAAAGCTGGAGAACAAAGTCGACTATATTGTTGTCAACGGCTCAGCAACCAACACTACCAATGGCACTAGTGGGAACCTGGTGCCGGTAACCACAAATAAAAGGGTAAATGCGTCAGGCAGCATTAGATAGCAGTTGAAGATCACCTTGTGCTGCTACATCCTCCATGGATCATATCCTATGGCAGAAAGCTTTTCAGTTGCTGGCTAGGATAGAATAATACTGTACAATAAAAGCCCTACACATTTCTGAGGAATATGCTGGATTCACAGAACTCTAATTCTGTATATAAATTTTAAAAGTTATTAGTTTGCTTTCAGGCAAGTCTCTTCAAATGCTGTACTATATCCTTAAAGGGAAATTGGTAACATGGTTGATGTAGTAAGCAGGTAGGTGATCTTTGTATAAATCTTCTGTGTTTGAGATGGAGGTAAAACAAAAACACTGAAAGACATGGGTTCATTTCTATAAAATATTTATTTAAATATGTTACATGTTTTTTAGAGGATATTGTTACTGAATCATTTCGTCATTTGTTCTCAATAGGTTTAACTGTTAGACTAATACTGTTAGAAAATGTGCTTACTTCCAGTACTATATTTTGTTACTCAGATTATGAGCAGAGAAAGGAAGTATAATGTTGAAAATAGTGTTTTGAAATCATGACCCAAAGAATGTCTTCATTTGCACTATCCTTCAGAATAACTGGAGGTTAATCATTGTATATTTTGAAAAATTACGTTTGTAAAGTTATAATCTTGATATGGTTAGTAGCCATTGTCCATAACCTATTCTAAACATTGAGATAACATAAAAACAGGAATCTCTAATCTCATACATAACATTTTCTTATACTTTGAAGAATAAAAGATATTTTTATGATGAGATTAAAATTAAGTAAAGTATTAATTCATGATTTTTCACATACATAAATATTAATTTAAAAGTTTAACCCTTTGAGTGTCTGTGCTGTTGAAAGCACATTATTTCCATATTTGGGTAAGGTTTGCTTTTGTTATGTTGGCAGTGGAAGGGGAGACCAATATATTTGTGAGACTGGGATGCTTAAGGTCTTTAGCTAGGTGTATATAATAAAGGTATTTTGTGCTGCATTAAACTTCTTGGAAAATGTTAACATTATGTAAGAGTATCTGGCTTAATGAAATTGTGGATGTGTGTAACAGATATATTAGGTATTCATTTTATATAATGACCACTTAAAAACAAGAGCATTTAATTAAGTTATGAAGATTGACTCTCTTTTCAGGAAAACAGCTATTGTATATAGCACAAGAGATCCTAATCTTCGATAATTTCCGTATAGAGCAAAGTACACCTTTATTTAAATTTCCCTTGTAGCAAATTTAATTGCCATATGGTGCCCTATATTTCATAGTATTTATTCTCTATAATAACTGCTTAAGTGCAGCTAGCTTTTAGACTTAGGCTATATTGAATTTAGTTTTAGATATTGTATTGTTCATTATTATAATATGTTACCACACATTGTAGCAATAATTATAATGCTTTATTAAAATAAGTATGAGAAAATATTGTTTCATGAAAGGTAGCTTTCTAAACTCTTTTCCCTATACTTTATGTGAAGAAATTAATTACATACCATTGCCAGGTGAAGTTGGGAATAATTGTTCAGTCTTATTAGATGTAGACATTTTCGTTTTTGTTTTCAGGGATGAAATAAAATATATTATTTGTACTTACAAAGTGTTATAAGTTTTTTCCTTTGATGGTGGTTTGCATTAAAAAAGTGGTAAGTGATTGAAAGGAATCTTAGTTTTGGGTTTTGTTTTATCAACTGCAGATACCTTTTTCACAAAAAAAACAATCTTTGTTCATGGTAGAAGACTGAGCTCAGGATTTGATGGGAGTAAGTCTGAGGGTTATGATTGGAGGTGGTTCCTAGGTTTGTACCCTCAAGTGGAAGTTTACTGTTGAGTTTTAAAAATTACACTGTAGTTATTTCTATCTTCAATTTATCTTAATTAATCAGGACATAAACACAAAGGGCATCGCTAAACATATTAAAACTTTCATATTTACTTCAGAGTAACTTTGGGTTATTTCAGAATGTCTTTAAGCAGTATACTGCCAAAAAAGCAATTTAAACATTATTTCACATAGTTGATGATAACTTGGGCTCATTTGTTTTCAAGAAGTACTTAGGACCTTGACTGTGGAGTTAGGTAGACTATAGAGGCTCAGGTCTACCTTTTTAGTGGCACCATGTTCTTTATTTAAATTTATAGAATCTGCCTCATCTTATTTAATTCTGTCTCAGAAGGCTAAAGTGTTAGCAGTGTACATAGGAACCTCCAACTTATACATTTGGTTTAATTGTATACAATGTTCTGTTTTTTACTACTTTCTGCTGAATAGCTATTGATGTAGTTATATTGTTATCTTTTTTTTTAGAGAAATGCTTACCTGAAAAGAGGACATGATATAATGAAAGAGACAATGAATAAGTGAATGAGTTAATTGAAGCCAATTTTTAAATAATTGAAAGCCCTGAATGATTCTTAGCTTTTGGTTGGGGGCATAGTAGCATTCATCTTTTGAGAGAGCTCAAGGGCTAGAGAGAAGAGAAGGAAATGAATATGAAAATAAGAATAAATATAGAAAAACAAAATGGGGACAAATCTGAATTTTTTTTACCTATAGATAACTGCTATTGAAATTTTAGCATATATATGTGAATCTGATCTCCCCTGCCCACACTCTCGATTGTTGCTGCTTAAAATAAAATCCAGTGTTCTCATTGTGGCCTCAAAAGCCTTAATTTGCTTCTGTCCGCCTTCTAACTTCATCTCTAACTACCCTCTTCCTTCTTAATTCCTCTTTGGCCATATTGACTTTCTCTTCCTGGGACTTTCTCTTCCATTCTTTTACCCCAGCAACTTCAAATTTGGTATTCTTCTTTTTGCTCCCCCTCCCATCCACCCGCAAATTCTCAGATGTTGGCTCAAATGTGACTTCTTAGGGAAGTTGTCTCTGACCACCTACCTAATTAACATGCCTCTAGCAGTCTTCTTACCCTTTTTACTTTTCATCATAGTTGTGATATACCTAACATTAAATTACATATTAATATAGTGTGGTTTTTTTCTGTTGCTTCTTAGATTCTAGGTTCTGTGAAGACTAGGACTTCTTCTGGTCACTGATATAAATAATCTGGGCACATGTGACTGTGTCTGACACATAATAGGTGCCTGATAAATATTTGGTAAAACTAGTTACTAAGCCAATCTATACCTTTTGCTTTGTATATCTATACCTTTATATTTTTAAAAATTATACCACACATTGTATTCTTTTTATATAATGTATGAACTTCTTTCCAAGTCAGTGAGTATATAACTTTCATGGCTATTCTACTTTGTGGCTATATCACCATTGATATATCTTTCAGTCAATTATTAGACATTTTGGTTGCAGATAAAAGACTTAGACCTAGGTATGGGACAAGTCTAAAGCTTGTCCCCTTTCCATTACTCCATGCTGTCATTATTTTAGGTACTAGTGGGTAACCCAGTAAAATGTGATTAGTAGCCATTTGGGGGAGACAAAGTGATAAAATATATCCTTTTGCATAGAATTACAAGGACAGAAAATCCAAAATGGGTGATCATCCTCAGACCTTGTTTTATGGCATAAACAGGAGGCTAGAAGCATTTTGCAGGCTAGGAGAAAGACTGGGAATAAAAAGTAGAGTGGCTAAGCCATAATTGGGTTAGAGAGCTGGGAAGGGATTGATTAATGGTGAGACTTGTGCTTAATCAGATCAAGTCTGTCATTTTGCACCTTTCGGCTTAAAATGAATCAATAATATCAGCCTGTATTTAAGTAAAGAAGTTAGGCTCTGAAAATTTTTTTTGTTAATGTTTTTTTTTCAATTTCACCAGTGACAGTATCTTTCAAATATATTTCCAGAATGACTTTAGGACCTCCTTTGAGTCCTTAGGTCAATGATAACTTCACTTTGCTTCTAATTGTTGATTGGCAGCATCATTCATTTGAATAAATCATTTTTCATTCAACTTTCTCAGGTGATTAATTCATCCACCCTTCCACCCTTTCTTTAATATTTACCAATTTTTTACACAAAGAAACAATGATTGGGAGGAGTCTTTTTAGGTGGGAGAGTGTCATGGTAGGTATGGTATCAAGGCTTGAGGGAATAAAACATTTCGAGCTGCTGATGTTTGGCAATTTCCATATAGCATTAGGTTATATTCAGTTTTGAGATAAATATGAGTTTTTTTGGTTTGCTTGTTTGTTTCTCATCTTCATGAGTTTGAAAAGGTGAGAAACAATTTCCTTTTATTCTTTTTCTTTGAATCTGAATTAGGAGTTTCATTTCAAAAGCCTTGAGTGGATGATTAAAGCAGGAAGGTACGGAAAGAGGACCTCTGTCAGGTAAGGGCCACTGGTCTGCCTCCTGGTGGAATCCCTACACATCCTATATTAAAACTATTCAAAACTGGAATGTGCTTCAGGAGGAAAGATTTAGAGCAGGAAGGATTCGGAAGATTTGTTTTTAATCATGCCTCTCATTCATTGGGATCGCTGTGGTAATAACAGTTATTGAGCATCCACAAAGGGCTGTGGCCTGGTCTGTGTTCTTCATGTACAGTATCTTGTTTAATCTTCAAAAGAACTTTGTGAGGTTCTGTCACCCCCATTTTCTAGATAAGGGACTATGGTGCAGAGAAACTGAATATGGGAGCTCTGGTCACAGATCTTATAGACCACACAGCAGAGACTTCAAACCCAGAAAGGGCTATCTCCACAGTGTGTGCTCTTGGCCACCATGTCTTACCCTCTGTTCTGCTAATCTTGGCTTAAGTATACTCCGTCTTGTTCCCAGGACATAGGAATTCCTCTCCTTTGATCCAAAAGAGAGATCTGCTTCTCTGTTCACTCCTTACTCTGCTCTTAAAGGTCTGACAGCAGCAAGCACGAAGTCTGCAGGGCATCCCACAATATGCATTTGGTGCACGGGCATTGATAGTAGGCTACCAGCCAGGATCCTGATGCCCAGAATGGCCAGGGTATGGGGATCATAGGAGATGGACCCATTCCTGGGGAATTGGTTGGGAGCACCGGGCTATTGTATTTGGGAGTTGGTTTGGTTTTTTTTTTTTTAATGTTTATTTATTTTTGAGAGAGAGACAGAGCATGAGCAGGGGAGGAACAGAGAGAGAGGGAGCCAGAATCCAAAGCAGTCTCCAGGCTCTGAGCTGTCAGCACAGAGCCCGATGCGGGGCTCTAGCTGAAAAACCATGAGATCATGACCTGAGCCAAAATCGGACGCTTAACTGACCAAGCCACCCAGGCGCCCCTGTATTTGGGAGTTTAAAAAGGAGCCAGCTATAGTACTATCTCTTATATCCAATCTTTGAATGAAGGGAAGGGAGGGGTTGGCTTTGTGCAGAATCTTCCAGGGTGAAACAGTATCTTCTCAGTCAACCCTCAGGGCCATTTTTTTTACCATGTGATTCAGGGCACTATCAACTCACCTACAGCAGTTCTCTGTCACATAAAATCTAGTACTAAGATTTTATTTACAAGGTTTAGGTAAATGATTTTTCTGGGGCCAAAATATTTCTTATCATTTTCTACTTCCTAGAGGCTAGACAGAGTGGGACCACTTTCAACACCACTTTCTTGGTCTATTTTTCTCCTTTTAATCTCTCTAGGTTTTTCAAATGAACCATCTGATGACTTTTAAAGAAGACTGAAGTTGTCTCCATAATGACTTGATAGTATCTGATTTAAGAATTTCACATAG